GTACTGATTTCCCAGGATACCTAACTAGAGAGAATTTTTAACCTTCAGACACGCTAATCTGCTATTTTGAAGCTCCAATCTGGGGACAAAAGAAGTATTAAGAAATCAAGTTTATGTTCGAATGAAAAACTGATATTGTATCTGTGATTTTGTCTTGCAGCAAGGGCTGCACCATATGCAAAATCAAGGACGCAGTCATCCCGTGACATCCAGATGAACAGGCATAATAGTTATGGCAATGGCCGCAACGCTGCTGAGACTGGCCCTATCTTGCTTTCATCATAACAAATCCCAACAAAGTCCTATTCTTCTCTGCCTTCAGTTGCTATATCACAATCTGAACAACCTCCCTCTCATTTGGTGGCTTCAATGGCAGATAATATGATCTTTTGGTGTAGCTGTCGCCCATTCTGTGTTTCTTCTGCAAAGGGGATCACTTCTACAAGCTTTGTAAATCCGAAAGTTCTGTACATTGCTGTGCTCCCGTTGACAGTTTCTTTGATGTTTTTGAACTTTTAGTAAAGGAATAAACCTTGAGGATGTTGTATCTCTCTATAGATCAATTGAAAATAGAATTCCTATGTTCCACAGTTTAGAAAGATCTGCAAGTTATGTTCTGCAAGTTATGTTAACATGTGCGAACCGAGTGCATTATAATCTCTTTGAATTATTTAATGATTTGGTTCCCTAGAGACAACTCTTCTCGCATTTTTCATTCCCTAAAATCGATTTTCTTTTTCAGCCCCAATGTAATCTTGGAATGTTCTGAAGCCCATAAATGAGAGTTCACATCAGCATTGACTGATAATATATGTACCAGTACCTTAGGCCCCCGAGTTGAAGCTTTTATCTAGCTTCACAAAACGTAGAGTGGCATTCAGTTATTTACCCCAAAAAAAACGTAGACTGGTAATTAAGTTGTTCGAATTGGATTCTTATGATTCTTGTAAAATTAGACATGTCCATATTTTTCAAAGGCGATATTAAAAGAAAAATGGTTTTTTATACAAACTGCATCACTTGAGGGGGGGAAATCATTGGTAGCATGCACTAATATATAAGCCAATTTTTTTTTTCGTATTGAGGATGATTTAACTTGTTATATATTTTATTAGAATTGTTCTACGCATTGCACAAGGATATTTTATTATATATGTACTATACATGACGATATTGACATTCATTTGATCAAGAAATATTATATTTACTACTTAACTCACATAGCAAGTATTAAAGATTGTTTTGACCAACTTAAAGAAATTGTCAACCATTTGATAAAATTGAGAACAGGTCTGTATGTATGTGTGTCTATATATGATTTAAAAACTTAAATGCCATGTTGATCGCCACCTTATTCAGTGAAGGATTTAGGATCCAAGACTAGTAGGGGCATAATTTATTTATTTTTTTGGGGAGACATAAATGATATATATATTCCACTAATAGCAAAATTTAATTTGGCCACTTACTTTAGAAGTATATGATCTAATTTTAATTTTCTACATGCACAGGAGTTGAAATTCGAAAGACAGCTCAGGCACTTGTTTAACTAATAATAAAACCTTCATATACCAATTTGATTTGTTAAAAAAAATTAAACAACAAATTGAACATGTAAAAGGTCAAAATTATTTAAAATTATATAAATGATTTTAATAAAAATATAGAAAAATTTAAAAAGATAAAATTACTAAAAAATAAGAATTAAGGAATTTTTTTTGGTACAATAAGAATTAAGGGGTTTGAAATAAAATGTTGAATAAAAAAATCATAATACTTAAATTATTCTAAAATTTCAATCCCTTCTTACTACCTATTATTTCAAATTTTAATTATCCCAGTGTCATCTTCACTCTTTCAAATATTGTAAACACAAAGTTTTAGATTGAACTATAACTCATCTTCTCTTTAACAAACTTTGCACCACAACCTCTCATTTTTATCTCGGTGATTGTTACTCTCTTCATTAAAAATATAATATATGTTTTAAAAAGTTAGATATTCAAATATGTAAAGTATTTTTAGTTATCAAGATGTAATCATTACTTTTTTAAAAAAAATTTATTGAATAAATTACTTTATAGATATTTTAAGATAAAATACCTTATTGAATGGGAATAAATATAAAAGTATAGGATTAGTTTGAAGATAATTAATTATTTTATTAAAAAGTAAATTTGGTTAAAAATACTTTATATTTTTAAACTGAGAGAGTATTTGTCTATCTCTTTTTCTTCCTCTTCTCCTGTTCCTCTTTCACTCTATGGATTCAAAACTAATATTTATTCCGTTAAAAAATATAAGATATTTTTAACCGAATCACACTCTAACAAAAATAATAACTTATTTTAAAGTAACACAATCGTTTTATATTTACTCTTATTTAATAGAGCATTTCACTCTAAAATAAATATGAAATGATTCTTCATTAAAGGTACTTATGAAAAAGCGTAATAATTATATATTAAAGCACTAGAAAATCTCTTATACCCCTCTACTCTTTTTTTTTTATAAGTTATTTCTACTAACATCATTAATACCAATACAAAAAAAGTACAAGAAATAAAAATATATAAAATTTTAAATATACTCTTATATAACGTATCTAAAAAGAGACATCATATTGTTTTTTTTTCTTTCATAAAAATTAATTTTAAAAATATATTTTAAATATTATCTAAAAAATTATACCATAATTTATAAACAAAATTAAATAAATTTTTTAAAATGTGTCTTATAAATAAAAAGTTAAAAGTATTTTTTTTTACTATCCAGCCCTTTAAGCAGTGGAAGTATATTAATAGAAATAATTTAAAACTCAATCCGTACTTACACAAGTTATCACGAAATTGTGGGGCAATTGCCCACCCTTAAACGCACTCTTGGTGGCCTCCACTGCCTTTATTGTCACACTTAAGACTTGAGTTCCGAATGGAAAGCCATTTCAATCACCAATTTGGTTTTGGATGCTGCCTTGACCACCATTCACCACCTAAATCCCACTGCCACATAAAAAGCCACCTAATATCAAATCAGCATGTTCATGTGATGTGACTGAAATTGTCGTAGCATGATTGTGGATTTTAAGGACTTTGGTGGCATGAATGTTCATATCATTTCAATATCCACCATTTTCTCGGTGTTAATTAAATAAATAAACAATGCTACGTACGTAGTACATTAACTCAACGAGCAACGAAAAGAGAACTCTACGACATATTCACTCCAATAAAGTTTTGAATGTTGGTTCTATTCTTTGAGCACACAACACAACACCTATTTCTGTAGCCTTAGTTTCAAATATACATAATCTAGTATATATAGGTTAGTAAATATAAATATTATTTTTTAATTAATCTCACTTTAAAATATAAATAATTTAATATATATAAATTTTTTCCCTCACTTTATCTCTTGTAATACTTCCTTTCGCTTTTATATAAAAAAAGTCTTTTATTTTTAAATATAAAAAGCCATTAGTATATTTTTTGATAAATGAACTATTATGCTGTTATTATATTAAAAAAGAAAAAAAAAGTACTCATTAATTTACTTTTAAAAATATATTTTTTTATTTATAATAATTAAAGGTAAAATTAAAATATTAATGTACTTTTAAATAAATAACCATCTTTTTATTGATTTATATAATTCAATTAAAATTATTTTTATATATAGGCATGAAGGAAGTATTTATTAATTTAGATTCTCGTGTAAAGTTATTTTTCATTCATTAAGAATTGTATTAATAATTAAAATTAAAGGTAAAAATAAAAAATAATATATATTTTTATGATAATAAAAATTTTATTGATATATAATTTTTTTTGAACTTGTTTATATTTTAAATCAAAGAAAGTATATGTAACCAATTATTTATAAAAATACATGAAAAATAAAAAAATAATAAATAAATGAGAGTGACAAAGATGAGAAAGGAAGTTAAGCGATAGTAGTAATAACATGGCACGAAGCGAGGGAAGAAGAAGATAACAGAAAAGGCAACAAGAAGGTAACAAAAAAAAAACTCCATTCTATTAAATTTAAAATAGCTTTCAAAAACCAATACATAAAAAAGTAAATATTAAAAAAAAACCAACAACAACAATAACACACACGTGTCTGTGTGTGCAGAGAATCACCAAACGTGACCCCACCCTGACCAAACTATCACCCACCACCATTAAACAACCAAAACACTCAGCACAGTAAATACCATTCCTTTTGCCCCATTCATAAAACAGTAAAATTATATTATCTCAACAAATAATAACATTCACGTGAGCATTATTACCCCCTCCCACTGTTTTTATTTGCTTACAGTGTGTCAGGTTGGTGCAGTCATTTTGAGGCTCACCTTTTTTTTCTCTGTCATCCCACTCACATCACACCCACATATATGCATATCTTTTTTTAATAATAGTAAAATAAATATATATTATTATTTAATCTGATAATATAATAAAATAAAATGAATAAAAAAATGTCAGAAAAAAGATGAAGAAAAACGAGTCAAACACGCCATCCACACTTTCTCCATCTCAGCTCTATCCATCCCTCTTGAGTCCAATCCTTTCTGTTCCCTCCTCCTCAGACACCCAACTCCACCCTCTTTCCTTTATTTTTTTAATTTTTAAAATTTAATATTTTCCACCACTGAAAATGAATAGTATTTTGAAATATTTTGATAAAAATGTCAGGCGCGTACATTTTTCTGTAGGGCTTACGTCACTCACATGATCCTATCATATCCTCTTCCCGGCGCACACGTCCGAATCCAATCGGGCGGCGGCTTTTTTCTCCTCCTGGGTCCCACTCCTTCTTCCACGCACTTCTTGTTCAGCGTGTTCATTCGTACCACTAATCCAAACCGTTTATTTTAACACGTCTTCCCATCGGACGGTTTTCCTTAAATCCCGCTTTTTATCCTAAATTTCTTGTCCGTTACTTTGATGTTGTATATATAACAAGACGAGAGAAAGAGAAAAGCGAACAGCGCCTGGTGTTGTGCCGCCCAACCGACGATTACGGGAGGCTGTGTGGGTCCCTGCTACTTCACCTGCTTCTTCCCTCGTTCTTTCTTCTTCGCTTTGGGAAGGCTTTGTTGTGGGTGGGTGAGAGATCATATCATACTACTAAGGAAGCTTCGTGTCATTTCATGGCTTCTTCGTCCTCGCCTTCTTCCATGTCGCGGGAGGGTCACTACAGAGGGGTGAGAAAGCGGCCGTGGGGTCGATACGCTGCAGAGATTCGCGACCCGTGGAAGAAAACGCGCGTTTGGTTGGGCACTTTCGACACTCCAGAAGAGGCTGCGTTGGCCTACGACGGTGCTGCTCGTTCCCTTCGAGGCCCGAAGGCGAAAACCAACTTTCCTCCTGCTCCGGTGGCCGCCGGAGGGTTATCCCTAGACCTGAACGCTCCCACCTCTGATCATCGCTGGCCTCCTATCCCCTCCGGTCGCCTCGTGCTCAACGAGCTTCTCCATGCGGGTGTTCTCAAGGACATGTCCTTTGATCATCCTCCTTCGCCAGCGGCGCCCATTGCGATGGTTCACAACCGGGGCGACGGTTCTGTCTCCGTGGACGGTGGTCATCATCATCAGGTGGCGGAGAGCTCTCCCACCGCGTCATTCCTCGGTCTTGTTCGGCGAGGCCTACCGATCGACTTGAACGAACCTCCTCCCGTGTGGCTATGAACGGGCATTTTGTATCCTATGGCGATTAGACTGTTGTTTTTAACTGCTTTCTATCTACCTTATTCTGTGCCTCCATTATGTGTTGTAGTAAGCCTTATTATATATATTTCAGCCGGGACTCCAGTATCGAGTGCTAAGTGCTAACAAAAATATATTGAAAAAAAATGAAATATCTGGTGTATATATTTCTTGTATTCCCGGTTTTCGCCGCCAAAGTTTTCATTTCCGTCCTTGAAATACGTCGTGGTTTAGTATTATTCTCAGTGCGGGATGGATCGACCGTTGCAGGGTTCGCCGCCGCGAGTGGAAAGCACGCGCAACTAGATGGAGAGTGAGAGTGAAAGGAGTCTGGGAAGCGGGCGTGTGGGTGTCGGCATGATGGCATTCCATTCAGAGTCAGGTTGGAACAGAGTGCAGAATTCTGGTTCTGAAAATTGTAGCAGCGCATTAATAAAGCCGACCCGAAAAAAGACCCACCCGCTATTCCAGCGCGCGTGTCCTGTTTTATTAAGCGTGGTTTGGATAAACTGGTTTCATTTTTTAATAGCAGCATAAAAGATCAGTAAAACAAGAGTGAATAATGAATGGGGGTTTTACTAGTGGGGAATAGTCTGGAGAGGGATTGGGATTCCTCATTGTTCTCGAACTGAGTGCAGGCTTTATAAAGAAAGTGGCTTTCCCCGTCTGTGCTGGGGCACGCTCTTTCTTTCATTCCGTGTTTTCAAATCGCCCGACAGAGAAACTATGCATGTTTGGGGTCTACATAATTAAACACGGCCACACTCGTAGGTTAACCAATGTTTTGTCCCTCAAACCAACGCTGTACATTGAATTGAACCCAATTTATTTCATCCCGTTCCAAAGCCATGTCCATGATAATAAGAACAGAAAACAGAAAAGTTGCTCCTGGAATGACATGAGCCATGAGGGAGGCTCGATTCTCGAATCTTTTGCCGTGGGGACTGAGCTTGTGATATTCTGGTTTAGGTACAAAGTAATGTGATGGGGTTACTGAAAATGATTTAAAGACGCAAGCTGGGGGGATTGTAGTACGTCCTGTGGGGAAAGAAGCAGAGAGTGGAGGGAAGGAAAATATAGGATGAGGTAAGTCTAAGTGGTTGACAAAAACTAGACGCACGTCAAGTCAATAGAGGATTCACCAAGTGCGTACGTAAAGAGGGGAGCATTAATGGAGAAGAGTGAATAATGGAGGGTCACAGTTAAGGAGGTGACAGCGTATAAGGATGTGTGATGATGTCAGGAGCGGTTGATGGAGGTAGCGATAGGGAGCATTGATGAAGGCTTGAGGATGAGGAGTGAAAGAGAACAAAGACATGAGAAATGGGGGAAATGGTGGTGAGAATGACGACGTCACGAGTTCATGATTTGATGAAACCTGGGTGTTTTCATTTAATGGAGATGCATGTTAGTGGAGAGATGAGCAAGTGTTGTGGTGAAGGAAAAGGAAGATGAAAGCGGTGACACAAGACGACAATCGCAACATCCGGAGTGTGATAGATGGACTACTCTTTAGATACTACGCTCTAGCCACTCACTTGTCTACCAATTTCACTTTTCACGGTTTTTATTTTTTCCTTTTTACGTAAAGTATCTCTTAAAAACTACTTCCAAGGTCTCAAGTCTCAACGCACAAGATGTTTTTAATTAAATTATATAAATTAATAAAAATTAATTATTTAATTAAAAATACAACAACTTTTTAATTCTACCTTTAATTATTAAAAATAAAAATGAATCTGTTTTTTAAATTTAATTAATAAAAATAATTATTTTTTTAATTTAATAAGAATATAATAGTTCATTCTTTAAAAAAATATGCTAACATATTTTTATATTTAAAAATAAAAAATATTTTAAAAAATGTCTTATATATAGAGATTAAAGGATTAATATCTTAATAATTGTAGATGAATTATTCTCTTTCAAGCAATTTTTTTCATACACATTTTTTAGAATCAAATTTTAAAATAATGCTTAAGAGATCATCATTTATGTCACACTCGCTCAATTCCATTGATATTTTATATGCACCCTTCTTTACTTATTCGCGTTGTGTTTATTACAAAATGATAGTTATACTTTTTAAAATGCTTAAATAAATATAAGTTTCATCTATTAAAAAATATAAGGTGTTTTTAAATAATTTATATTATTAAATTGTCTTTAAACTAACATCATTTTTCAATATTTGCCCTTAATAAGGTATCTCATTTAAAGATAAAAAATTATTAAAAAATATTATAAAAAACTCACAAATTACGCATTAAGAAATTAAAGATATAATATATTTTTAAACATTCAATCCAAAAAAATAACTTATATCTTTTATTAGTGAGAGTAACTCTCCAATTTAACCAATCTGTACAATTAAAAATCATATTAAATTCATACTTAAAAATTTAACTCATAATAAATAAATAAAGAATAAAATTAAAAATAATTAATTATTTTAATTTTATTTTATATTAAAGACTTGAAAAGAAAGTTTGCTTGAAGATAAAAATTGGAAGGAGCATCATTTTATTTTATGACCTTTCACAATTATAGAAAACGTACTTTTAATTCACAACCCATCCATCAAGTAGTTTGTCACTCTAGGCCCCCTTTGGTTGTGGATGGAGGCATCTGAGCAGAGTGTGTGACAGCTGAGTCTTGAAAGTGGGTGTGATTTGATTTTGATGTGAGGGGCAGATGTGAACCACGTGGCGACATAGTGGGAGATCGGACCTCACCAATCTGCTCCTGGGCTGACCTCACACGCGTCCACGTGGTCAGGTACGTCGGAGGAGGAGCAGGTAATTCAAGTCTGCTCAGACTGCTAATTTAAATAAACCCAACAAATTTTATAATAGAAATTTTTTTTGTACTTTAACTTTAATAAAATCAAACAAAAATTAAAAATCTTATTATTTAAGACAAAATTAAATCTGTCTAAAAAAATATTTAATAATTCTAATAGGCAAGAAAGCCAGGATGTTAAGGTCGAGTTTATATATTTATATATGTTTTTTTAATATATTCCAGTATGTGAAATCTAATCCAAATAAATTTGACATAAATATACTCATCTGCTCGAACTACAAGACAGGCAGACACTAGTTAGGAGGGGCCACGAGTGGAGTCGGCAGCACACCCAGATAACATTTATAATATTAGTTTTTTTATTTTTATTTTTTTAAAAAAACACGCATAAAGCTAAAGGCATCACTGCATTACGGCATTGCATGAGGATGGGTCTATGGGAGACTCTCATTATTATCAGTGTCTGCGCCGGCGCTCCCCCACTCCGTTTTTATTTATATTTTGCATTTTAATTTTAAATATACATAATATGCATTACGATATTGCTTATTATTTATTGATGCGATTCTATTTGACTTCGTTACAAAAATAAAAAATTTCCAAATAATCTTTTACGTAACCTTCACGGAAGTACATAGAATCGATTCTAATTTTCTTTTTTTAAAAAAAAAAAGGTGGAAGACAAAGTTGTTTCTATTTGGAATCCTCACGGTTTTTTAAACGACACCGTTCAGTTCGTTTCATCATCCCGCTCACTTCTCGTCGTTATCTTAAACACTTTTATGCGTGCCTCCAAAGTTGATGTCTTCAACATCAAGACCTTTAATTTTTCAGAGTTTAAAAATTAAAAAGGATACAACTCAACGCGGAAATTTTATCCATATTTATAAATGAGAGGAAGAAATGCTCTAATTTTTTTTCAAAAGATTATTATATTTTTGGCATAACTATCAATAAACATGAGTTGATGCCATTTTTTTTTAAACATGTTTGTCATTGACAATACATGGAGATATTTTAAAAGAAAAATGATAAAACCTAAGAACAAGTGCTTATATATATTAATAAAAATGGAAAATAGTTTGTCACATTTGTGTTTAATTTGAGTATAGATTACTTCTATGGGAAGCAGATATTTGTGATTTGTAACTCTAACTAAAAACTGTTGTGATCCAGACAATGGAATAAATAGGCTTGGTGGGTTATAAATTGAGGGGAGAAGCTCCTTCAATTTCTTAAGAAAAAAATAAAAAGAAATAATTTTAACAGACAAATTAAGGTCACATTTAATTATTAAAAAGAAATTAAATAGAATATATTAAAAAATTAATATAAAAATAAATTAAACTATCATTCCTTTTTCTGATAAACATAATAAAATTTATTAATATGTACTATAAATGTGAAAATTATCACACCCTTCAAAAATTTTATGAATTATAATTTTTATCATCATGAATTAAATTACCTCATTTCTTTATGAATGTGGTTCACTATTATTTTTTATTATCTTATTTTTATCTTTATTTTTCATGTCCAAATAATATTTATAAAAATATTTATAGATAATTCATTAATAAAGTTTTTACAAGATTTTATATTGATATCTTATAAATTATAGACTAAATTTTTATTGACTGCATCAACGTTTCTTGATACTCCCTTCATTTAAAAATATAAAGTATTTTTAACTCAATTTCATCCCTCAATAAAGTAGTTACTTACTTCCAAACTAACCCTATCTTTTCATATTTACCTTATTAAATTCTGTATAATAAATATAAAATTACTATTAATATAGGTACTTTTAAAAAAAATAATGATTATATATTAAAAGATTAAAAATATTTTATATTTTTTAATATTTAAGTTTTTAAAAAATATTTTATATTTGTAATCGAGGGAGTATCAGATTGTCCCGGAAGTCGGAAGTATCGTTAGAGAGCTTACTATATGTGTTTAAAAAATAAATGAATAGAAAAATAAACATGGAAAGAGGGGATCACGTGGAAGGAGAGGCCCAGTGCCGGCTGCGGCTGCGGCTGCGGGGGCCGATAAAGTCTAATACCAACAAATTATATTATAATATTTGGTCTCTCTCTCTCTCTCTCTCTCTCTCTGACTGTGTGGGGCCAACCCATTCCTCATTTCCAAACAAGTTACCCTCTTCCCACACTCAATTCTTTTCTCAGCCGTCTGAATTCTGAATCATATATTATTGGCAAATCTTTCACGTACCATACAGCTCTCCATTTATCATCATCCCTATGACCTTTATTTTTGTTTATTATCATTTATTCTGTCTCCGGAATTTGCTCTCTTTTAATGGTGGGATCCGCCACCCCTTCAGTCCTGGTCTCCTGGATACATATTGGATATGCGTATCCTTTCCCTTTTATCTCTCCCATTCAAATTCAATCCTTTACATTTCAGGTTCAATCCCACTTTGGTCTTTTCATTTTATTCCCCTCCTATTTTCAATTGTCGACCTCCTTATATTGACTATAAAAAATAGTTTTAATGAAAAAATTGTTAAAAGGGTGAACCGGGAAAATAAAATAATTTTATCCGAGTGTTGCCTCTTTTTCTTTCCAAAGAATAGCTTGCATCGTGCATGAGCATTCATGACCAGGGAGGGACCCACACAATTGATTCAGGAGGCTGCAGGGACATGTGAAATATGCTAATGGCATTCTATAATTGTCATTATTTTAATCCTTAAGCGTAAACAGTGTAGCAGAGTGGGAACCATTGTTTTGTTGCTTGAATTCAAAAGTTGTCTGTTTGGTGGGTCTTCGGCATAGATTCTTGTCTCATCGGTCACAAGCGTGTAGTTGAAAAGACATGCCTCCATCCATGGTTCTGTGTGTTTATATGAATTATCATTACGATTTTTCTTTCTCAAGGAGTCAAATGCTGAATGATTTAGCCCTGCTTCACCGCTTCACTTTTCCCCCTTCCTCATTGGATAAAAGCCTTTCATAGTGGAGCATATAAACCACGCATTGGTTTGTACTTCATACTGTTCAACCAAAAAGGATTGCCTAAAAGCTGCAAAAACAAAACCAATGATTTCTTCTTTTTGACTACTGGAAACACATACCAAATGCAATTTCATGCGCTCGACGATGCTGCTACATTAGTATGAATAAAAAAAAAATTCCAGAGAACGAACAAGAATTCCTATAACCAATAATCTCTCTCCATCGCAGTAGCGCCAAAATATGGAGACAACATGTATGTTTCGTTACTTTTTAATCTGGAAAAGGGAGGGTATTAGAGAGAGTAAAAGTGCAGTGCATTGTATACCGCAGCATTCACAAGCTTGTAGAACAGACTCACAACACAAGTTGGCTTAGGTTTTAAACTAAACTGCCTTTTCATTGGTTGAGGCTGGAGGTACTTCACAGTCGCAACCAATCTTGTCTCAACATAGAAAATTTAAATGTGAACTTAAAAGAGTAAAAACTGAGTTCAGCGTGTAAATTAGAGAATTATTCAAAGTGATACACTTTCAATCTGCAGGCATCTCTGGGCGTTTCTTCGGGACATGAGCGCTATTGGCACCCCATATATACATACATACATATATCTATATCTATAACTGCTTTAATTGAGCTACGTTCACTACATTTACTCGCTAACAATGGAGAGAGTTTTTCTTGAAATTGTCAAGATATATACTAGCTGTGTGTCTGCTAATAATCATTTTTCTACTTTCTGGTCAAAGTCTGCCAATAATAGTTGACTTCAAGGGAAAGTAGCAACTCGCTAAGGGTTCTCAGCATCACTTGAACCAGGACGGGCATCCAAATTGAACTCCTCAGCAACATCATCAGCTATTCTCCATCTGTTAGATGCATAAACAGATAATACATTATACGTTCCACCTTCCCAAGTTCAATTATTAAATCCAAAACCATATGGGGTTTAAACTATACCTCTCAAGCACAAACTTCCCTTCCTTGTATCTTTCATTTTTGTCATGTGCCATAACCTTGGGAAATGCAAAATCAATGTCAGTTAAAACTAGTGTCATCAAACCAAATACTAAATAATTTGTATTAGAAAATTACTGGGCCATCAAAGCTAATGTTGACTCAATGGAACAAGGCAGACATTAAAGGAGTAGGACTGCAGGAAACTTGACCGAGTGGCTGGACATGTATGCCATCATGGGATGTGCATCCAGGCATAAACCCTTCTGAATAAATCTACAAGCCATCAATCACCTAATGCTCTTAATGCTCCCAAAAATGTTTTTGAAAAAATCAGAGCTAATGCTCAAGCATTTTTCTCACGGTGGATCGGAATCAGGAAACAGAGTTTTACTTGTCTAAATTACAATTTGTAAGAGAGAACACGCAGGAACACAACAGAAAATTCACATCACTCTAATAAAATCAACAAAATCAAATCCTATACATAAAGAGAAGGAGAGAATGCTGGACTTATTTAAGTTCATTCTTTTCCAGTTGTGAAACTGTTAAAAGTAATTGTTTTCTAGATTGATTAGAAGTTGTGAAACTCTGGAAAACAAGCACCGTAGCTTGCAACTTGGAAGAGAATAAATTCAGGCTTCTGTGCACATAATATATCCAGGATTACTTTATATATGAACCTTTCACAAAACAACACTTTAGACCATCAGAGATGTAATTTCAAGAACAGAATGCCCTCATATTTATCAAACCCATTCATAAAACTACTATAGAAATGTCAGATTGATTAAATCATTATGAAATTACATTGAATCATGCTTGCACAAGGCTCATTTAACATAACCAGTGTACAAGTATAAAGCTTACATATTTCCATCCAAGAATTTGTCCACAGCAGCAACAAAATATGTCTTCAACGGTATGCAAGCCAGACATCATCATTCTCTCCTCCTGAGGCCCAACTGATACGTTTACCCTACCAGAGACCAGAAACCAATGAAAATACATTGAAAACATTTATTCAGGAAGATGCTAATGAATCCATTAATGGTTAAAGTAAACGGTTGAACAAGTGTGGCTCTAGGTGGCATTCACTAGGATAAACAACAACCTTCACCAGAGAGATAGCTTCGGCCAACCAAAAAAAGAGAGACAGAGAGAGATAGCAAACATGTTAAGGGAGAACAGAGAGCTAATTCACACTACATTAGTTCAGGCTAAGTGAAACAGTGGAAAATCGTTTGTTGTGGTCCAAAAATAACAGAGCTATTCTGTTTCCACCATTGCAGAGTCACCAGGAATTCTGCACAGAAGCTCCAATATGTCTGTAAGGGTTCAATACACCATCACATCACTGTCCAGTCATTGTTGTGTTTTAGCTCACGAGGGGATGGAGTGGCAAATATCTGACTGGGAATTGGGATTATTTGGGAGTCTTAATGAAGGAAGGGAGTCCTTTGCCATTGTTTGGAAGTTGTCATAAAATGAATAGACTGGAAAGGCTTGAAATCAATCATCCAACGTTACCATTATGAAATAAACAACACGAAAGAGTATACTAGGGTAACAAATCATTCTATCTCCAAAAAAAGATGGAAGGGGGCTGCGGATGGCAAAGAGGGGCTTGGAGGCCATCTCTTGCTCTTTAATTTCATCGTATAAGGAAATCTCAGAATGACCCACCCCACACCCACTTTAGCTCTTCCCTGTCATCCATTCAAACACTGCCTAAAAACAGAAGAGGTCACAAGAACTAAAACATTATTGTCACATTTATTACTTGGGGGCCAATGAGTTAACAGGAGGGCAAATGCTTCAATTTATCCTCCAAGTATCATGTGTGACAATTATGGTTACAGAAGGGAAATGGCACACTCTTTTTTCACAATATAGAATAGTACCCAAACTCCTTAGATTTTTTTTTTGTTAACTGGAAAATAGCTCAATTTTTAAGCTCTTGATATCCTCTATTCCCTTGTCAACCTCTTCTTTGCCCTCTCAGATGGCATTTACCTCAGATTTCCTTTAAACTTCTATAAGTCCATATTGCTGGGCACAATGGAAGCTTTGGTATCATTGTGTAAGACTGACACTACAGGTAACTTCAATAAGGTACCGACATCAATATTCTGATGTAGTAGACTTCCTGTTGAAAGGTCGTATATTATTAAAAAAAAATCCATAATCAATAAAATCATAATTTTTAAATATATTTTCCCATATTGGTAGAGGAACAAATGCTTTGGAGGAAGATATGGCCAAGTAAGAACTTCAACCAAATCCATTGCAAAATGCCAAATAGTAATCAGAGTATCTCTATCTCATAATAGTAAACAAGAAATGGTGAAAAAGAACCAAAAGTTTCAAATAACTTACACATTACTAAATAAGTATGCTCTCCCTCGACGACAGTTGAAGGACTGATTACATCAAAAAGGCAAGAACATAAGTTAGATTGCTGGGCCATGTGAAAGGCTCATACACTTGACACAATGAGCTAGACACATTTTCAACATTTAAACAAAACAAAAAATTCTAAGACAGATAGCGAGCTTAATGAGTTGAACTCGTTAACTTATTTTATCATTTTATGTTATCATGAAAAACAGAAAACACGTGTGTTAGGGTGAGGGTGTTAAGAACAGGAATGTGAAAGAAACACTAGTATTAACACATTACTTCAGCACTAAAATTCCATCTCAAGCATCACTGTATGCTTTACATAAGCACAGAACAAAGACTAATATACAGAAATTATCAAAATATCAAACAATTTAATTTTGTTTTGAAAGAAGCAATAGCAATATCAGATATGGGGATAAATAATATTTACTTTTTTATGCCCAAAAAAACATACTCTTTATGCATTGCACTATCAGCTCAAGCATTAAATTCCAGATGGTATGGATCTCACCACTGCAAAACAACACTAACACCAAATATGTTCAAAACATGCAAATATGGAATCCATATATCATGTCTTGCAACTGCAAACAGCATGCCAGCAAAAATAATGGATTTGATCAGTAGATTCCACAAAGACACAGAAGTTGTTGATGGACTTGGAAATTCTATAAAACCTCAAAAGTTAAAACATGATGGGATCGAGGTGATATACACTCAAATCCAGGTCCAAATAACAATGAAACAAATTAGTCAGGTCTACACTTAATCAGGGACATAAGGCGCATTGATTTTAAAAGAGTTAACATCATAAGTCAGAGTCTTTATATGTTTGACCACAATCATGCATAAGAATGGATGAGAATTTTAGATACTGCCGGCCAGATGTCTAATTTAAGTTTGACAATACACACTATACTTAATTTTTGTAGACTAGCACAGTAAGATTTCAAAAAGCAAGAAAATCAATGCTCAAAGAGTTGTTACAAACAACAGGTTCCTAATTCTATAATTCGCTATAGTAATTTATTCTAACCTGATAACCTCACACCCTTAAAGTAAGTATCTTCCACGGACTCACTTATCAACTCAAGAATACCAAAATTTCTGATGCATACTTTTGAAGAGACTCCTGGCTTTTCAAAAACCAACTTTCAGAGAAGACCCCCAACGCAGAATGAAGGAAAACCCAAATACAGTGAAGGTATACAATACAATAGCATAAACTAAGTTTTAGAAATGGTCCCAATGGCAGAATGAGGGGAAGCCCAGGTACTTTTTTTTTTTTGACCAAAGCCCAGGTACATTGAAAGTGTAAAACACCCTAGAAAACAAGAGACTCAGAGTGTACGCTGCGAGAATCAAAATGGAGGTGTAAGAACATCAACCAGCAAGGAACTGAGATATAGTGACTTAAAAGCTGTTTTCTATGCTTTACTTAGAAAACTTTACTTTTAGTTTGAAATTTAATATAAAACACGGTCCGCCCCACTACTTAAAGTATTTGTCGTGTCTCACATTCAAAAGCCAACTTCTGCTCTCTAATCGAAGTTTATTCAATCAGGAAATTCAGTGACATGGTGGCAGAGCACAACCTCCATTCCCCACAACATCTCCCTAAAAAGAAATGGTGATTTATGTGTCAGAAAAGTCCGTTAATCCCTGCTTTCCCACCATTAACTTTTTCTCCATATCGCTGCTTGCCGATTAGAGTTAAACTGCCCTGGCCCAATCACTCTCTCTCGCCAAACTTTTACCGGACAACTTGCTGTAACTTCATTTCCAAAAAAGATCATTCGTTTAGGCTCATGAACTTATTTACCTCCATTTTTATTCTAGCGTCACCTTAAATTTCATTTAGCCAATATCCAGTTACATGCGTCCCCACCATGAGTACATGCTAGCCTCACTTCAGACACTCAAATCCATCAATTTTGATTTCGTCTCTCTCTTGAATAGTAAGCTAACTCTTACATGCCCTAATTCCCCAGAAAGTCACAGAAACCCAAAGACAGAACAGAATTAAATCACAAGGCTTTGATTCTGAAAGCGAAGAACTAACTATTAACTTATATTCGGTGCCAACCACAAATATTATTAACAAAATACTTGGCGCCAACCACATATATTATTAACAATATACTTGAGGCAATCCAATCCCATTAATTTTATCAATCGGTCCCTCCGGGTTTTGATCGATTATCGAAGTGACAGAAAATAAATAAATGTTTCATCCAAAACAGTGGATTCCATCCGAAAGCGGACATATCTGGAAGCAATTGTTCCAACTACGAATTAAGAGAAGCAAGTGAGAAAAGGTGAGAGGGAAACGAAAGTACCCGAGAGATAACGTCCTCGGCAAGGGCAAGAGGGGAATCGCAATGTTTGCATCTGTAAGCCCTACCTTCCAAATCAACAAGAAAAACCCTCCCCATCAACGCTCTCTCATGCCCAAACCTCCTTTCCTACAACAGCAAACAACGCGGACAAACCAAATTCGCACTCAGGATCGTAGCTCGTCAGAGTGCCCAGCTTCCGGCTGACGTTGCGCCTACAGAATACGAATCCGGAAATACAGATGCTTTTCGTTTTCCTCAGACGCTGTCACTGCGTCAGAGGCCTAAATTTTTTTTTTTTGCCCTTTTTTGATTTTTCTCTCTTTTTTCTTCTTTTCCCCATGAATACAACATCAGTAATAATTATGCATTAAATTACAATTAAAATGAAAATTATATACTATTTGACGATGGCTAAAGTATATTTGCCCATAATAATTTGTTTACTTTTCTGTAATTTTGATATCTCCTAAAAGATATAAAAGGTAACAAATAACTCTTTTTCATGGATTGATCACACTTAATTATAAAATGATTTACATTTAACTTTTTTCTCGAAATATTTTGAAGATGCTTTGTTATGAATTTAATTTTAAATCAATTATAAGCAGGATTTAAATACTATATTTTCCAATATTAAAAACACGTTATTTTTTTAAACAAAATGCAAGATGATGCTAGTAATTGACTGGACCTAAATTTGACTAAGATAATAAATGACTTAAAAGAGGGTTTGTTAATTTGAGACTACATGTTTCTGCTGCATTTCAATCATCTGTTAACGTGTCAGTTGACTAGCTTGCTAAGCAATATAACGATTGAATAATCAAATTAGGATTCAAGTCACTCATCCCCTCTCGCGTGTTGTTTTACTTGGTTTGTATGTAGAAGTCTTTGTTTCATCCTTGAACGTGAAGCATGTTGTTTTTTGATATTTCTTCTTTTCTTGGGTGAATTGTTTTTTGTTATTTCTATGGTACGTTTTTTTGTTTACACATATACATACACACACGTATCATTTTAAAATATTAAGGGAAAGACTCATGAACTTAATATATTTATATGACATTAAATTATGACATGTAAATCTTAATATATTAATTTAACTAATGACAAGAATTTCTTGTCGAATAAATAATCTATAAAAGATTCACAAACCTTGATTTAATTGAAGATAAATACCCTTAAGTATATAAATTTTCATCAATATTAAAATTAAGGTGAATGAATAATTAATGAGAAGATAGAAGTAATGGGTTCAATCAACAACAACATGTCTCATATTTTACAAGGACGGATCTAAATTTCATTGCCAATGTAAAAGCCTAGCAATAAGGTACTTACTTTATTTAAAAATGTAAGGTATTTTTAATCAAATTTCATCCCTTAATAAAATAGCAATCTACTTTCTAACTAACTTTATCTTTTCATATTTACCCTTATTAAATGCCTTACAATAAATATAAAGTTACTATCAATAGGGGCTCTTTTGAAAAAAAATAATGATTATATCTCAAAAGATTAAAAATGTCTTAACATTTAATTTATTGAAAAATGTCTTATATTTTTTAATAGAAAGAGTAATTTGCAAGTATTTTTATAAAGACATGCCTCAATTCCTATAAACTTATATAGGATGAAACTCATGTAAACTTTCTATAATTTTTTTAAAAATATTAAAATTAAAAAATATTCATACTTAAATTATAAGTAAGTTAAATTTCACAATTTCTTTAAAAAAAAAAACGAAGACACGAACAAGTTGTACAAGGTACAGAATAACTATATTGAATCAGGCAGCAAGAGATTCCTGCACCCTAGTAATGGGTTGTTGATGTTTCTTATACCAATACAATTTTGATGAGTCTGATGTGCAAGCCAATATATACAAGCATGATTAGCTGCTAAGGAGACAATCCAATGTTGTTATTATTGATGAAGGATGGTTCTATGAATGCTCATTATGAACTAATATAGCTTCAAAAGAGTCGCATAAACATCGACTTTGGAGATAATATTGTATTCATTCCAACAGAGATTGAGTATTTCAATAATTTTGGATTTTTTTTTTTTTGACTCGGTGGTTGGTTGAAGAAATTCAATAAATTTGGTGAAGCCCTTAATTAATCCATTGTCCCTGATTATGTCACAAACAAGGTCACCCTATGTAGCTACGCCACATCTAGCCTAACCTCGTGTTTACTGGTCAGAGTTGTCAACTTCGCTTCCAGTTTGAGATCATTTATCATATTTGGTGTATTGATAAAAGCAATTATCTCCTTCAATTACGTATTCGCCATTTCTGGATTTTAGCCCAACTAGCATCATGAGCATTGCCAGTTCTTCTTTTCCCCTCTGTAACCCTTTAAGTAGATCTGATTCAAAAATTCCCAGATTGTTTCTCTCCATTTTTTTTTTCACTTTCCATCTTAATCATCAAATTAATTTAAAAAATAGTCAGGATTTAACAGTTTATATTTTTTTTATTTTTACAGTTTAGATGAAATTGGTTATACTTTAAATTTGTTTATTTATTTTTAATAAATTTGACATTTTAATAATAATAATTTTTTATGAGGTATTAATTTCTTACCATTTAAGAAGGGGGCAAGAAACAAAAGAAAAGAAGGCAAGTCCAAAATTTTGATCTCAAATAAGTCTCTAGTGGAGGATGCCCTCTTTGTTACTGGCCAAATCCTCTCAGATTCCTCTCCCCCAGCGTCCGTCAGTGGCGGCAATCTCCACCTTTTAATTCATATCTAATGCCTCATATCTCGCCATATCATCCCATATTAAAATAATTAAATTTTAAAAAATAATTTTTAACACCTTATTGCAATACTTTATATATATATATATATATATATAATTTTAGGATAATGATTCAAATTGATTTTTTTTATTTTCAAAGCTTATCCTAAAAAATGAGTCTGCAAAGCAATTTTTTTTAAATAGATCTTACAATCTAACTTATTTAAACTCTAGCTAGATCTATTTAATAAAAGATTATTTGTAAAAACTTATAGTCTGTGTTATTCAAATTCTAGTCAAATCTATTTAATAAAAATTTATTTTTAAAAAATTTGTAGAGTAATTTTTCAGTACAACTTTTGAGAATAAAAAAAATTAATTTGAATCATTATCCTAAAATATACACTCCTTCAATTTAAAAATATAAGACATTTTGAGGAGTTGAATGTTAAAAATGCAAGGCATTTTTTAATCTTTCAAGATATAATTATTGCTTTTTTCAAAAGTGTCCCTATTGATAAATGACTTTATATTTATTGTAAAGTGTTTAATATGAGTAAATATTAAAAAATAGAATTAATTTAAAAGTATATAACTATTTTATTGAAATATGAGATTTAATTAAAAATATTTTATATTTTTAAATAGAGAAAGTATATATATAAAGTAGTGGAATAAGGTATAACATTTTAAAAAATAAATTAAATTATTTTAATACAAGATAATGTGGTAAAATGTGGGTCGTTCAATATGAATTGAAGGGTGGAGATCCGCTGTCGCTGAGGGACGTTGAGGAGAGAAATCTATGAGGATTCGGATCCCCGATATTAGGGGGAACTTTCACGGTTTCTTCACTGACTAAAAATGCAAGAGAGAGTCTGTGTTTTGTTGCGAGTGAATGGGAAAAGATTAGACTGATCACATGTACGTAAGTCGGCGGGCGACGTGTCAGATTAGGAAGGACACGCAGGGGAAGGCGAGTGAGAAAATGGGGAAGTGGGGAAGGCCGGAAGGGAGAAAGAAAGGAGAAGAAGGCGCCGCCCCAGAGGCGTAATAATAAATCAAAAAAAAAAACAAGGAAATCCTTAAAAGAAGGTGTCACCTCAAGCGCCAACAAAGGATTATCATATGTTTATTAGACAGCAGCCGCCCCCACCTAACCCATTTTCCCACACGCTCCACGAATTCTTTATCACTCATTTTTTTTAATTCTAATTATTATTTATTATTATTAATCATCCAAACCCCACCCCCGTCCTTCTCAATTCTCTCTCCACCGGTGGCGCTAAACGTGGCGAATCACGACGCATTCCCCAATTTCGAGTCCCGGCAAATACTGAAACCAATTTCTTCAATTATATTATCTCTTCTTATCCTTATCATAAAGATAAATTTTAAAATTTTTTTTATCTTTAATCTGAAATAAAATTAGAATAATTTTTATTTATTATTTATTATTTATTTATTATTGTTTGAACTCCTAAACAATATTTTATTATAATTATTATATATTTTAAATAAATGCAGAATTAATTAAAATTATTTTTTTATTAAAAAATATAAGATATTTTTAACTGAATTTCACTCTTCAATAAAATAGTTACTTATATTTAAATTAGCCTCATTTTTTTATATTTATCTATATTAAATATTCTGTAATAAACATGAAGTCATTATCAAAAAAATATTTAAAAAAATAATAATTATATTTTAAAAGATGAAAAAAATTTATATTTTTTAACATTTAATTTTTTAAAAAATATTTTATATTTTTTTGCGGACGAAGGATATTTTATATGCTTTTTGAATCAGATGCAATGAAAAAGCGCAGCATGGAGTCAACAACACCACACTGTGGTGGGACCAACCCGCCTGCCTTGGCTAATTATGCGACACGTCACCTTGTGGTGCGCCGCTGCTCCTTTCCCTCTCTCCCTATCTTGTCAGCATTTTGGCAGATGATATGATAATATATATACACGTCATCATAGTTGCTGCAGCTATTTGCTACTCCTTTGATCCAATATCTAAATTACTTTTTTAAAGTATAATTTGATTCATTTTATATGTCATTTATTAATAAAATTATTTTATTTTAAATTAAAATTTTTAAATTATTTTTAAAAAGTAAAAGAAAAAAAATAAAAAAATAATATTATATAATTAACTTATTTTTTATTTAAAGATTATATTTAAATTTTACTTATTTTTACTCTTTATATTTTTATTATATTAATATTGATAAAATTAATAAAAATAATTTATAAATAAGATGGGAGGAGTACGTATCAATCTCCTCCTCTCACGGTAATTATTCCTCCTGCATAATTCACGTATAATTTAATCGCCTTTCTTTCATTCGCCAACAAAAATCTAGCAGATTTGCTCTCATTTTTATAAAATATATATTCTCAACCAAGAGTGGGTGGAGAACACAATCCCAATTATTGTCACACCCCACTTGTTCCGTTTTTCGACCCCTGCGATTAAAAACAAGCATAAAACGTAGCGCATACAAATCACAATTCATAAAATACACGGCCTAACATATCCACCACCATTCATTTCCCCTTCATACGTTATTTTCATATTATGGCTACTAGCCATCAAAACTATAATAACCTCGGTGGAATTATGGATATTCTATTATAGCATGTAGTACTACTAATAATAAATAAATAATTCCTGTATCATTAGAAAAAAACAATTAGGTAAAATTGCATATAGATGCCGTGGCATAAAAATATTTATAAATAAATCATGCAAAATTTAAAAATTACAATTAAATCCTTTGAGACTTAAGTGGAACTTGAAATTGAAATGCAGAGATCATAATTATATTACATCAATAGAATAATTTATAATTATTTAATCTTTAATTTATAATTATAAATTCAATTTTTTATATTAAATATTTAAATTTTTTAATTATTAAATATATAAAGTTATAATTGTGTAAAAGGTAGAAGTGATAGTTATAAATTATTAATATAATATATTTTTAATAAAAATATTATTGCCTTTGTATTTAATTTTAAATTATAAATCAAGTTTTTAGGTGTATGATTAGGGTTTTAAAAATTTATAAGACTTATTTATAAATAATTCCGCATTTGTACATAATTTTTTTTTAAAAAAAATTAGAATGTTTTAAATTAAATGTTGGAATATTGATAGATTACGCGGAAATAAATTAGGAATGGTTTAATATTGTGTTTGGGGGGTTTGAGTGCGGAGGAGGCGGGCCCACCACCAGAAGCGGCAGCCGCTTTATCCCTTTTTTTTTTTTTTTGAGCAAAACGCTTTATCCCTTAACTGAATCATTTCTCAAGTGGCCTCTACACATGGGTCCCACCTATCTTCCCTTTGCCCCTCTTTTACGCGTAAGCGTCAATCCTGGGGGAAAATAAAAATAAAAGGGACGGCGCTATGCACGTGCAACCCACATGGAACATTTGGGATCTCACAAATTTGAATTCACTCATTATTAGTAATTAAAAAATTAAAGGGCATTGTTGCATTATTGCCCTTTAATTTTATTTTATTTTTTTAAACTGAGACGGAAGATTAATAGTTATAGGAGTTTTAGTCTGCAAGATAATGCCATCTGAGAAAGTGTGAATTCATATATAATGCATAGTACGCCATACGGTGCCGTAATGGAAGCTTCGTGTTTTTGGGGGAAAAAAATTGTTTATTTTATTTTCATTTTAAGCAGTTGAAGTTGCATCTGAGCTTGAAATATCCAGAAATGCATATAATTTATTGAATTTGTCGTTGTTACGATTACCAGTTAGCTGCCAAAGATTCGCCAGTTGAACGCTACAGCTAACGAATTATGTATAATTATTAAATTTATATATATATATATATATATATTCCACGAATCCATACCCAAATCTTACGGAAGAGCACCCCCTGAGATTGCATCATTAAGTGCTCGTCACGTCAAGAAGTCAGTATTTCCTAACTTGAACAAATCTTTATCTGCCAAATCAGTGTCGCCTAAAGAAAACTGTGAATCATAATTTGGTAACTTCGCGTGATGATGACGAAAAGATGGCAGAGATTTGAGTAAGTTACAGGAGAATTAAGATCATCTGCTGACTCAACCACTGCGACGACGGATAACTGATCAGCACGGTGGGCAAGTGACGTCGGCGGCGAATGATACGGCTGGTAAAGAACACACCGGAGGCATTCCTTTGAAAGCAATCGGAGGATCGAAATTTCGATGTTTTTTTGGTGTTTGGGTTATTATCGATTTACCTTCCCTTTGTTCTTTGGGCAAAATTCTAGTTTGCTCATATTAATTTATATTTTTTAATGGAAAAGTTGTAAATTCCATATGTGAAGACGTATCAGAATTTAGAGATTTTATTTGAAAAATGATTTCATTGTGAAATTAAATTTAAAATTTTAACCGATTATTTTATAATGCTTAAGATTAAAAAAATCAAAAAAATAAATAACACCAACAAAAACAGTGATGCTGATATCTCTTAATTCAATTAATATTAACGTTTATTTATTGATAAAAAAATATTATAAACAAAATGATTATCTGGAAATTTAATTTTATAACGACAACGACGCTTATATTTTTGACAATATAGAAAGAAGTAATTATTCTTCGCTAAAGAAGAAAAAAGAACTCTTCTCTGACCCGATAGAGCGGCCGATGGCACCTTTTCATTTTTCATGACAAAATTCCAAAGCGCCCCTGTTTCTCCTTCACGTATGCATACGCTTGATCCTGACATCGCAACAAGTAATTTATCTACCCGAAACTAAATAATTCATGCAAAGAATATCCATAGGGTAACATTTTTATTTTCTAAACTGGAAATTACTTGAGAAAAAGAGAGGACCGTACAGTACCCTGAAACATGACGTGAGCAGTGATGTGGGGCACGAGTATCAATGGGAAAACGAGCAACTCCGCAACAGCTACGTGGCAGAAGACGGCGATACAGTTTTCTGCCCTAAGAACGCTCCACCGCCAGGTACGTTCCTATCCACGTCGTCATCATCCACATTACACAAATAAATCGCTCTACGTCTCTCCTAACTAATAAAAGCATCGCCGATATGTTCTTACACTCCGACAACTCCCCGGTACGAAAACCCCAAAAAAAAAAAAGGTCGAGAACAAATTTTTCGTGCAATAATTTCTTAGACGATGAGTTTCTCCGGAAATATAGAGTGTTTACTATAATTGAGCTTTAAATGTTAAGCAACAACTACAGAGATGTTGAAAGAAATAAAAACTCCAAACAGCTTCGTCATTCAGAACAACAGATCGAAACTCGTCGTGCCTGGATCTGTCGCAAAAAATGGAGACAATCTTTTACGTATTCACATCGTGCTCCTTTCTTCCTGATCTGTGCTACTTTTCTTCATCGTGTTCCGTACGGACACTACTGTCTTTCTCTTATTATAAACTAGAGAGAATCTCTACAATCCCATAAGTTTAAACCCAAAAAAAAAAAAAAAAAACGCTAAGGCAGGGGCTAAAACTTTCATGCCATGTCCTCCGCAGGGGGTTGGTTGAGATCGAGATCCAACTCCTTTCGAGAAGTCTTACCATCATCGCGAACGTTGAGATCGATCACTGTGGAGGAATCGGAATCGCTTTGCACTCCACCGGAGCGAAATTCACTTGCCGCGGAACGACGCCCGTCGAACACGATTCCATGGAAGGCCTGACCCGCCGCCATGCTCGCGCGCAGCACCGCGTCAAGGTAAAACGCCTGATTCACCTGCGGAAGCGTGCCGGGGAATATCGCAGGCGGCAACGGAAACTGCTGCTGGAAAGGGAAACGCACGGAGCTGGTGACGGATCCTCCTGCGTGGGAGGACAGGTTGAGGTCCAGCGGCGACGAATCCATCCGACGAGCCGGCTCAAGGTCACGGCTGGAAGACTCGACCGTACTGCTCTGAGCCGGACTAGTTTGTTGGCTCACATTCTCGGAAGGAAAAGGGAAGTTGGTTTTAGCCTTGACCCCCCGGAATTCCCGGGCGGCAGCGTCGTAAGCCCTCGCGGCCTCTTCGGCGGTATCGAAAGTCCCTAGCCAGACACGGCTCTTCTTGCCGGGATCTCTAATTTCAGCGGCGTATCTCCCCCAGGGTCTCTTCCTAACCCCCCTAAAATGCACCTCCTTGAGGCCGCCGTGAACATTAGATTTAACGGCGGCAGACTTCTCCCTGGGTGCCATAAACGACGATAAACTCGACAGTCGAAGGAAAACTCGTCCGATTAACGTGCGCGATTGCGATGGAGAGGAGTGGGGAAGAAGCAATGAAGTAGGCGGGTGCTTTATAGATGGAGAAGAGGGTAAAATGGGGTAATGGGCCACAGAGAGAGAGAGAGAGAGAGGGGGGTACAATCAACGAGGAATTTGACTGCCTGTAGGGGATGATAGGGTGGCTATGCTAGAGAGCGTGGAGGCAATTTACTATGGCAGTCCCCGAATTACGTGGCATGTGGGTTGTCTAGAGAGCAGACAAACAAAGTGGTGTCGTATCATAACTATCCAACGGCTCCCTCTCGCTTGGCTTTTGCTTGGGGCGGGGGGTGTCCACACGGTATCCCAATCTCCCATCCGCATAGGACATGGTAACTCGCCCTCGGCATTGAATTTCTAAATCAATAACATTAACGCACGTTGTATGAGTTTGGATAGCGTTTCTATTTGGGGAGATAGAGTGAGGTTCGGGCCATTTAATAGGGAGAAAAATTGTGGCTAGTGATGTTTTGGCGATCTCATTCTCAGTTTTAACAAGGCCGTTTATTATTATTATTTTTTTTTTAAAAAAAGGAAGCTAGTAATGAGTGTTTGTTTGACGCGTAGACTCTAGAATGGCGGCGCGTGAGGAGGAAGAGTGAAAAGACGGGGAATGAGGAAAAGGAACAGAAAATGGAAGGAAAAGGGAAAGAAAGAGGGAGGCGGCAAAGGAAGCGTTCACAGAGGAGGGAGAGAGAAGGGGACACGCGTCAGAAAGGCAAGAAGGAGGAGCGAGGATGAAGCAGCACAGCAGACACAGAATTATTTTACTCGGTCCTCTCCCCTTTCTGTTCAATTCTATTCCCATGCCCTTCACTTGACTTAATCATTGGATTCAGTTAACTATTCCATTTACCTACGCGGCTAGCCTCCTTCCACCCACCTTCCATTTTATCAACTGCCAAAATTCCCGCCAACAATCAGAAAAAAGACTCCCTCGGCGCCGAAGGCCGGTCCAATAATAAATAAATTATATAATATAATATTTTTTGTTTTTCTTCTTATTTTATAGTTTGAAAATTTTAACTTAAAACAAAATAATTCTATTAATTAGTAACTTATAAAATTAATGAGATTGTACTTTTTTTCATATAAAATAGGAGAGAGTATGTGTACGTAATGCCTAACTAATTCACCAAGACGCTGTGTTGCATGCTCGTTTTGACGTTTGTCCGATTGTTCCGCTACAAGCACTCCCCTGCAAATTAAACGTTGCGTTTGAATGCGTGAAGAATTTGTGTGGTCATACAGTATTTGAACATGTTGAATGATTGTTCCAGAAACGACTGGCTGAGAATTCGGCAGCAGGATGAATTAGTGCTTTTGTCCTTCGAGAAGGGATACTCTTCGAAAATCACATTAATACAACCAAAAAAAAAACAAGAATAAGAAGATTTCGTATGTGTAACTCTCGTCCGCTTTTCAATTTATATTATATAAACAAAACACTATGGTTCCTGCAATGTACATATCAATACATAACCCGTGCCTTGCCTATGTTATTAGCATTTTCATCGGTATAAAAGTCACGCAGCATCCTTTCTCCTTATCTATTTTTACAAAACTTGATAATCAGTTGAACTACTTCTTGTTGATACGTTGATGTAAACTATATTTTTTTTATTCATTTTTTAATTAAAGAATTATTTTTTTAATCCCTGAAAATAAAATGTTTAAAGATAAAAAAACATCAAGAAATGTTTGTAAAACGAAAGATAATTTTGCTAGCATAAAAAATTGAATATAATATGCTCGAAATTTACCAAATATTGATCCAGTTTGCATAATATATATCAACTCAACTCCTTTGAGTAAAATTTTCTGTGTTTTTTTCCCCATTGATGAGAATAATATTTTATATTTTCACGAAAACAAAAGAAAGTAATGAGAGGAGACAACCAAAGTAAATCACATTGTCATAAATTTAGTTGAAAAATAAAGATTAAAATATATAAAACTATCGTAAATTTTGATATATATAGTTGTACATAACTTTCCATACCTTTAAATAGTTAAAATTAACTGCCCTAATGATCTTTTATTTATTTATTTATTTATTTTGAAACTCCCTATAGCTAATATTACAGGGTTGCACATGGAGAGAGTCAGGCCAAGCATCACCCCTGCCTAGTGCTTGACTTGATGTGCAGTTTGGACTGACCCAATACTTGAGTGTTCGGACCAAGTTTGGCTTCACTGACTCAAAAAAAATTTTAAAATATTTTTTTTGAAAACTATGCAAAAAAAATTATTTCAAAGAAATATAGTCATTACCATTTAAAATATTTTCTTTACAAAATTAATATTAGAATCAAAAGTAAGGGCTTTTTGATAACTTGTTTTTGAAAAAGTTTTTTGTTCTTCAAAACAAAAAAAAATAAAAAAAATAATTTGGTAACATGTTTCAAGAAAATTTTTTGGAGAAAAAAATTAAATATTTTTTGGAAGAATAAAAAAGAAAACATATTTTAAGTATTTTGAAATTATTATTCTAGAAAATAAGAAAAAATGTCAAAAACATATACTCCCTTCATTAAAATATTTTTTTAAAGAGTTGGATGTTAAAAAATATAAGGCATTTTTAGTCTTTCAAGGTATAATCGTTGCCTTTTTTTTAAAAGTGCCTTTATTGATAATAATTTTATATTTATTATAGGGTGTTTAATTGGAATAAACATAAAAAGATCAAGTTAGTTTAAAAGTAGGTAACTACTTTATTGGGGGTAAGATTCGATTAAAAATGTCTGCATCATGATTTGCTGTCGTTCTTTCTCCTTGCATTCTGACATTTCCAAGGATAGTGCAAAAAATCTTCGATTCTCTTCTAGTTGCTTATTCATCCGATCTTGAATTCCCGACAGCACTTCTGCCACAGGTCCGATGGATATGATTAATGGGTTAAGTTGTCTACTTCTTGACTTTAAGTCAAGGCTTGTGCTGCTACTACCTGTCATCATCGGCATTATGTGCTCACGATGTTCAGCTGCTTCAGCATCAGGTGATAAATGTTCTGACCCAGCGTGCACAGAGATCCCTTCTTATTCATGAGAACCAGTACCTGTTTCATCAATCATTTTGTCTTTTCGCGTCCTTGCCATCTTTGTTACACAAGTCTTACCGAGCATGCTAAAATTGTTCATGGTGAACAAGAAATACTAGGCGTGCCAGAGATGCTGAGTCTCAATTGATAATAAAAGGACCTCGAGCTCCTTTATCACAAGTTACTCAGATGTAAAAAGATATAAAGTTTTGATAGAACAAGTGTTTGATTTTATTGAAATATGAAAATGTTACAGATCTAAACTGAAAGATTAACTGATAAATCTAAAGGGCTAAAAAGTGTAAAATTGTGAGTCTTTGATTGAGTGTTGATTAGTTTTTTTTGTGTCTTCTTCTTCTATTTATGGTGTCAGAGTAGCGGTAGCTTTTTCCTTAAGACCTAGCATGTTTTGCCAAAAAATCAAGGATCTCACAAAACTCATAGCACAGTCTTTATTCCATATTCTTTATTTTGATAATCAGCCCATTTTACCAAGATAGGTGGGCATTAGGTCTGTAGATTTCGACAATACTTGATATCGTGTCTTTCACGCCAATGATTTAACATTTCCAGCTGATGGGATTTCAACATGCTTGCTTATTGTGACCTTCATTGAATATCAGGGCCAACCCTTTTGTTTAATTATATTAGGCTTGACGCTTCAATTACTCAGCCCAACTAATCTTATGATATATTTAAGCAACGTTTTATATTTAACCCAAACAAGGGATCTTATATATTTAAGCCAAAAATGAAAAATTTTATTTTCATGTGTATCATTAATCATCTTATATCCCATATTAATTAGGCAGGTTTTAGATCTGTGGGGTTTAATTGGGTATAGCTCTTACTATTTTTTCTTTTTTGACAAAATTCGAGCATCTAATTTTCTGTCCATTGAAAGGAACCCAAGCTACATATATAAGATCACAATATATGTCAAAATTTATGGCCACTCTTAAAGGTTTCAACCTTTATTGAGAAAGCAAGCCTTCCATTTCACACAAATTAACATTTATCCGAATTCTCTAAAAGCTCTCACACTTATTTGGCACAAGGAGCCCATCTATTTCAACTTATTTTATTAAAAATTACTTTTTTGAGTAATTTTTAAAAATAATCTAATACGGTGAATAAGAGAAAATGTTTTAAAAAAGCAAAATACGTGAAGATATAATAAAATTAAAAAATAATATAATGATAAATTATTTTTATAAAACTAAAATTAAAGAAGATATCATAAAATTTAAAAATAACTAACTAATAATTACTTTTTTATTATTGTAACCAAACATAAAATAATGTCTATTTTTTTATAAAATCTCTACAAAATACATCTATTTTTTTAAAATATCTAAACTATTTAAAAATTACTTATTTTTTAATTTTAAACAAACAGGTCCAAGTTCTTCCAAAATTACCCTTTTTCTATAATCTTAAAAGAATAGTAGAGATCTTACCTTGAGAGAGTAGATGATCACCATTCAATCATATATGCATGGAAACAAATCAATGCATAACTTGTTCACCAAGCCATGAATGATATACAGTTCAAAGGTTAAGAATTTTGATGTCCTCCCATTAGAATGTCAAGAGTCTTTGGTATCATGACATGAACTAATTGATTGTCCTTTTTTACATGGATTCTTTGTCCGTCGTCTCACTGTATTAAGGGGGAAAAAAAAAGCTAGTAGAATAAACATGTCTAGATGCATGCATTTAACTTTTTAAAGGCTGTCTTGGTCTAATTAGGCTCTAGAACAGCAGTTCAAATTGCACGTGTTTTCACGTTTTTCTTAAAAGCACTCAGTCAGTCCAATTCTATTTTGAAATATTGAGAAAAGTTAGCCTTCCTCTGGATTGCCAATGGGAACAAGTTCCTCATCTCCACACAGCAATACTGTGCACATCCTTGTTGGGTATGCATGCTGACAAATCGTGTTCATCTTATCAAGTAATCGATCAGCTTGTGCGTATGAAACAGACAGACCTCCATGGATACAGGTCTTTCTTCGGACTGCTAATTAAATTGCGCGTCACCACCAACCAACAATATATGTATGATTTATTTATTAAAATTTCAAATTTCAACCCTAAAATATACAATCAAGTCAAATAAATATATCAAAAGCATCCTCAAGATACATAGTAGGGTTTTGGATTTTTTTAAAATTATGTATGTTTATATATATAAAAGATATTATTTAAGCACGTTTTCAACGAGGACGAAGGAAATAGACAAACAAGAGAGAATAGAAAGGCCACATACGATGAAGCCTTGAAGGCTGAACTGAGGAGGGAAAGGCAACTTTGAACCATTGAATCTGGCTCG